ATTATTATTATTATTATTATTATTATTATTATTATTATTATTATTATTATTATTATGTGTGAGTATGGAGATCATACTCACATGTGGAGTCTCTTTCTACCTTTATGTGGCTCCCAGGAACCAAACTCAGGTCCCTGACTCCAGTAGAAGCATCTTTACCCGCTGAGCTGTCTCACTAGTCCTTCTTTCTTTATTTTTTGAGACAGGGTCTCTTCTTGTCTTGGAATGACCTGGTCCACTTGGGCTATACTGGCAAGCCCCAGGGATCTGCCTGTCTCTGCTTCCCTAGTGCTGGGATCACAGGTGTGTGCTTCCATGCCTGGCTTTCATGTGGGTGCTGGGAACTGAACCCAGATCCTCATGTCTGTGGAGCAAGCACTTTACTGATGTCTGAGTTAGGGTTACAATTGCTGTGATGAGACACCATCACCAAACTTGGAGAGGAAAGGGTTTACTGGGCTCGCCCTTCCACATCATAGTCCATCACTGAAGGAAGTCAGGACAGGAACTTGGAACCATGTAAAAGGAACTTTTCTTCTACTGGTTTAGGTGTTGTCTGGGAGGCTTATTGTCTCCGTCTGCTAACCTAGGCCTAGTCCTGGAAGCTTCTAGCCTCCCTACAATCTAACCTAGGCCTAGAATGTTTTCAGCCTCTGAGATTTACTGCTTAATAAGCTTACCCTTTCTTGTTCTTACTGAGCTCTGGGCTGGCTGATTTAACTCAGCAGTTCTGGCCCAAACTCCCCTCCCAAATAACTTATCCAATCTGGCTTTTCTCTTGGCCTCTGAATTACTGTGCTTGGCCTCAAATTAGCTCCAGCAATCTGCTTTAATCTCTTGGCTCCATTTCAATCTCTGGCTCATTCTATTCCCTCAAGTCTTTCTCTGATTTGTCACTGTTTCTGCCACTCAATAGAATCACTTTCAAACATGGGTGCTTCCTTCTACAAACTAACGTTACCTTCATTGTTTGGGACCATGCCTGGACCTAAACTTTACCTGAAATTTGCTCTATCCCAAGCTGGCCTTGGACTCAGATCTACTTGCCTCTGTCTCCTGGATTAAAGGCCTATTTGTATTTCAGCTAGATTACACAGACATAGAAGATCTTTGTATGTGATCTCCTGCCAGAACAGCCATGTTCTAAATGAAAATTCTTCTACAGAGGCAGGAGCTGATGCAGAAACCATGGAAGAGTGCTGCTTACTGGCTTGCTCATCATAGCTTGCTCAGCCTGTTTTCTTACAGAACCCAGGACAAGCAGCCCAAGGGCTGGCACCACCCACAATGGGGTGGGGGTGGGGGTGAGGTGGGGATGGGGGTGGGCCCTTTCCTCCCCATCAATCGCTGATTGAGAAAATACCTTACAGATGCAGCTCATGGAAGCATTTCCTCAGTTGAGGCTCTTTCCTCTCAGATGACTCTAGCTTTTGTCAAGTTGACACAAAACCATCCAGCATAACTGATGAGCCACCTCCCCAACCTGTGTGCAGCAGATTTGCATATATCCCCCACCCCCCAATTTGTAGAGTTTCAGAGTTGGAAACAGAAAAACCCTCTGACTCTGCTCCGTCATTTTATTAACAAAGAAACTAGGGTTCAGAGCTGTGGCTGGTTTATGTCCAGGTGATCCAGCCAGTTAACAGAGAATGAAGGCATTCCAAATTAGACCCTGCTATTTCCTTAGGCTTTTGGAGTCTAGCGTAGCTCATGGGTGTTACTCAGGTAGAAGAACTCTATTTCTTTCTGCCATTGAGCCAGGGAAGGGCAGACTGGTTACAGAAACAGGGGCGCATGGGGTTAGGTCTGCATGTGTGTTTTAAGGTTGTCCTTTGGCTGGGGAGATGGCGTGGTTGGTAAAGTGGCTGCTGGGCAAGGCATGAGGATCAGAGTTTAGACCCCCAGCACTCATGTAAAAGCCGGGCGTGGTGGTGTGACTTGTCTGTCACCCTCGTGGACGGGTGTGAAAGGATGGAGAGAGGAAGCTCCCTGGAGCTCTGTAGACAGCCATCCTAACCAACTGATGAGCTCTGCATGCACCGGGAGAGACTCTCAGAAAACAAGGTGGAGAATGATAGAGGAGGACACACATGCACACAGGTACACACTCACATGTACTACACGTATGTACACACAAACAAGCGGGAAGTAAACTAAAGCCACTATATAAAGACAGTCCTAGTGTCACTAATTTTCATTCTACGCATACTAGCCACATTTATACATCATTTATAGCAAGTGATATCCAAACAACTCTGGATGCAGGCAGGTTGGGCATATGGCATGAAACCTATAACCTCCTGGACTTGTATCTGCTTAGATACCAACCAGGCAGTGCCCCAGGAACTCTCTGCTGCTAGCCTGCCCCTCCCCCCAACCCCCAAATCCTCTAGTGGAGAGCAGCAGCTGGACCGTGCCATCTTACCATCACCCTCTGGCTGATCCTGACCTTGGCTTCACCCTCCTGCTCTCCTATCTCCATTTGGGTTTCCTGGGAGTCTCACTACCAACTCTTCTTACTATGAGCATTTGACTTCAACCCTGACTCTCATTCTCATGTTCCTGGCCTTACCCAGATGAAAGCCTTCCTTCTCCTTGACCTTGCCATTGTGATGAAGGGTGTTTCAAGAGACCTTCATCAAACTGGAGCTCTTGTCTAGCTCCCTGAGCTGGTTGTGATGGAGAGGCTGTCCACTGTCCACCCAGAGCCATCTCTCTTCTTCTCTAGTACAAAACACTGACTCCTCAAGGCTTTCCCATCACTCTGTAGTCAGAGGTGGCAGGCAACAAGAATACAAATGACCAGTTGGGGCCTACCATGAACTTGGGGCTGGGTTGGAGGGAAAGAATACCCTTTTCCCTCCTTTCTTGCTTTCCTTTAGCATCCAGCTTTGAATGTGGGCATTTTGGGCCATCCTTTTGTTGCTAACTGGAAACCACGAGGTAACTTAGAGGGTGGCCTCCTGTACCAGAAGTCAAATGAGCATGGGAACAGGACTCTGGCAGAATAAAAATACAGGAGACCATAGGGCTATGACACCAGCCCTGAACTCACTTCGTGGATTGTCAAATCTGTCTCCTTGTGTCCCTGTTATATTGGTCTTTGATGCCAGCAGGTAAATTCAATTTTCATGTGATATGCTCTCCCCACCTACTGTACCTTTATTTCTATTGCTGTGATAAAATATCCTGACAAAAACCAACTTAGGGGGAGAAGGACTCATCATGTATTACTCCGGGTTATGGCCCATTGTTGCAGGGATGCCACAGCATCAGGAGCTTGAGACCGCTGGTCACATCACATCCACAGTAAAAACAAAAACAAAAACAAAAACAAAAACAACAACTCATGCATCTCCCTACTTTTTGTCACTCTGCCCTCTGATGGAAAGATCCTTTCGCTCCTATCCTTGTGGATCTGGCCATATTCTAAGTTTGCCTCTTTACCTTTATATTATCTTTTTTTTTTGGTTCCTTGCCAAGAACTGCTCTGTCCTGCCTGTGTGTTCCCACCCAATTTTGCATTCCTCCTGTGGGGATTTTAACGACATGATTTTAAGACATGATATTTGCACTAGTTAATCTAAAAAGGTGAGCATGTCTTACTCATATTTAAGTCCTGGGTAAGTATCTTCTTTTTATAGTAATTAGTAGACAGTCAATTAAATTCCCTTAAGTTCTGGATCTACTAGTGCGTAGACACCTTTGGGTGTCATGTGTCTTTTTAGAAAACGTGTGTGTGTGTGTGTGTGTGTGTGTGTGTGTGTGTGTGTGTGTGTGAAAAGTCCAGAGGACAACCTCGGGTTTCATCCTCAGGAATGTTGCTCATTTCCTTTTAGGCAGGGTCTCTCATTGGCTTGGAGCTAATCGATTAGGCTAGAGTGGCTGGTCCTTGACTTCCAGGGACCCTCCTGACTCCACTTTCCCGCTGCTGGGAACACAAGCACATGCCACCATGCCCTGCTTTTTTTTTTTTTTTTTTTTCTATTCCAGAGTAAGTTTAATTACAAAAAATGTATTGCAATTGTTATATCAAAAGCTTATTTATTTATTTATTTATTTATTTATTTATTTATTTATTTATTGACAGGGTGTCACTATGTACCCTTGGCTGTCCTGGACTTACTTTATAGACCAGGCTGGCCTTGAACTCACAGAGATCCACCTGTCTCTGCCTCCCTGAGGGCTGGGATTACAGGCGTCAGTCTCAAAAGTACTTATTGATGAATGTTAAACAAAACACTATAACTTTCCTTTCTCATAAATAATTTTGTATGGAAATAAATTTCCGTAAAATGTGCATTGATTGGTTCCAACCCCAATTCTGGAGAGTGAACTGGGGCCCTCATCCTGGCAAGGTGATCCCCTAACCAACTGAGTGCTTATGTGGAGGCTGAAGATGTCGGGGCTATGGATGCTAGCAGCAAATAGTTGTCCAGCTCCTTGTGTCTGTGGTGGCAGGTTTGCTGAGGCAGTGTTCTCCAGAGTCAGCAGGAGCACAGGGAGATTTGGGCAGCACTGATAAGGTGGGCAGAGAGTTGGGGTTGGGAGTGGCTCAGTCGGTTCAACTTCACAAAGAAGGAACCCTGGATGCTTGCTGAATTTTCCGAGCACGGAGTACTCCCAGGTTCCTTATTCCAGATGGTAATTAGATTTTGGGTCAATGAGAGGAAATGAAATTTTGTGATCAAACCAGATGCCGAGGTCTTTACTGAGATTCAATACAACTGCCAGATAAATCAGATACTGACCAAATCATCACAGCCGTTGGTTTAGGAGAAGTTTTGAGGCAATTCTGGGCTATCTAAATGCACAACTGCATTTTGAGTGCCAGATGGGCATCTGAGCCTAATGCTTAACCCTCTGGTCTGGGGTCCTCATCAGCCTCTTGCTTCACAGGGCTGGGCTAGCGGCTTATTAAGTGAGCTGGACACGCTTTCTCGGCCATGATGATGACACTGCTATATTAAGCCTGAGTTTACATGAGCATCTGGAGTCCTAGACTGGTGCCAAATTGATTTGTAAAGCTGGGCTTTTGAAGAGACTGAGCAAAGGGCCATTAGGATGTCTGGATCAGAGAGTAGGGTCCAGGCTGGGGGTGTACAGAGGGTAGGCCTGGGTTCCAGCCTTGCACCACATTTTAGACGCAGGAGTCCTCTGAGGGGAATGAAGGCAGCAGTGGCCGCCTTCATTGTTTTGGTTCCTGTGTCTGGCCGAGTGATGCTTAGGAGCTATCTGTTCTAGGAGGTCTTGCCAAAATATTCAAAGGCATGGCCAGGGGTGTAACTCAGCCATAGCTCACCTGCCTGGTTATTCACAGAGCCCTTGGTCCAATCCTAACAACTGCAAGATTTATAAAAATAAATTTAGAGGCTGAAGAGATGGTTCAGCGGTTAAGAGCACTTATAAGTACTTACAAGCACTTATGAGTGGTGAAGAGTTCTTATAGAGGCCCCAACTTCAGTTCCTGGCACTCATGGGTGGCTCACAACCACCTGTAACTCTAGCTCCAGGGGATCTGACACCCTCTGTTGGCCTCCATGGACAACTGGACTCGTGCACTTACCACCTCCCATGTACAATATACCTGCATACATACATACATGTATATAGAATGTGTGTCTGTGTGTTTGTATTCAAAGTCAGACACTAACCAGGGCAGCAGAAGAATAGCATGGAGAAAAAAAAAAATCCACCAGAAGGGTTTCTGCAGCCAGGTGTGGTGGCGCACACCTATAATCCTAACACTCAGGGAGGCAGAAGCAGGCAGATCTCTGTGAGTTCGAGGCCAGTCTTGTCTACAAAGCAAGTCCAGGACAGCCAAGGCTGTCTCAAGAAACAAGAAACCCTGTCTCAAGAAAAACAAAACAACAAAAAACACAAAACAGAATTGCTTCTGCAGCAAACCATCTTAGAACTGTCACTAACTGCAGGCAGAGATGCCAGGAGGCAGCTTCTGGGACAGTAGTTTTAGGACTTTTCAATGCATCTCCCTACACTGTTTTCTGAGAGTATATTCTCTTTGCCCCAGACTCTAAAATAACTCTGTGAAATGAGCCTCTTCCACTTGAATGGATGGACTAAGAGCCACTGACAATTGGGTGAGAAACCAGAGGGCACTGAAATGGGCTTGGATGTGAGTCATGAGCTGACCAAAATTATAGCCTAACAAAAAGCCAACCATGCATGGGCCACCTACCAGGAGTAGAAATAGAAAAATTTCTGATGGAGCCAAGTGTCCTGAGGATCCAGGGAACAAGTCAGGATTACATAACCTGGTAGAGAGACTGGGGGGGGGGTGATGACTCTACCTGAAATGAGAGTCCCTCATCATTCCCCCTCATCAGAGCAGACATAGGCAAGATTTGCAGACTCAGAAAACAAGTCATAATTGCCTATGTTCTTGGTATTTCGTTCAACTTTAAAATGGGTTAAAAAGGAGTATGAACTAGAAACAAAAAGCAGGTAACAGAGTCTGCAGGGGCCAGCAGGCACTGAGAAGCATTTATCTCCAACTGTGAGGCTTTTACCAATCCATTTTACCAATCCATTCTGACTTGTTTCTAGGAAGTAAAGTGAGTGCTGTCTGGACCCAAAGACTTGAGACGCTAATGGAGAAATAGAAGCATGCTTCCAGTTCTTCACCACCCAGGAAGGACCCAAATTCAGGACTTTACAGCGGCTGCCCAGGACGTGCCCAGCAAGGAGCCTAATGTTCTGAAGAATCATACAATTTCTACAAGACAGGCTGCCTTAGCCCTGTTATGGGCCACACGCTGGGCCCCATGCTGGGAGACCTAGATAGGTAAACAAAGGAATCTGTTCACACCTTAGCCAGAGATGGGGGTGGTGGTGGAGGGGAATGACACGAATGAGCTAGCCAGCTAGCCATTAGCACCAACAGCCAGAAAAAATACAGCTCATGAACATCACCCAGGAGGGATCCTTTTTTTTTTTTCATTTTCTTATCAAGTTCATGGTCAGATCGGTTAAAGAAACTGAGAGCGTGAGAGTAGGGGGTGAAGCCGGCATGTATATTGAAAATAAAGGTCACTGTGGAGAGAAGAACCCTGGTGGGCTTCATTTTCATCCTACATGCACTGGCCATTCCTGTCTGTGCACGCTCTACAGCAGTGGCCCGGGACAGAGGCAGGTTGGGCACGTGGAGGTACACACACAGTCTATTCCATCTGGGCTCATTCTTATATCCAAGCCAGGCCCCTGAGCCCCAGGCCCTCTGTGCTGCTGTTCCATTTCCCCAGGTACCTACTACAGTGTCTACTGACCATCAACCTGACCATGCCATCTCTCCAGCTCTTTCTGGCTGGTCCTGGCCTTGGCCTCGCCCTCCTGAACTGTCTTGGTTTGGGTCACCTAGAAGCCTCTCTTTTCTTATTCCTATGTGCTGTTTTAGCTCTGCCTCTGCTTCTCCTTTGTGTTTTCAGATCCAAATTCCTTACCTTTGCCTTTGTGAGTGAACAAAGTATTACGAGGTAAGTGTAAGTGGGGTGTAGTGGATGGGGTAAGGGAGAAGCAGGTGCAAGGTAGCAAGAGAGCAAAGGAAGTCAGGGTTCCCTGGGATCTATCGAGAGTGGCCGGACCTGGTTTTGAGCCCAAGAGAGAGGGGGTCAGGGGCATAGCTTTGACAGTTACCTGCAGCCTGGGTGAGAAAAGCCAGGGTGCATAGTGGCAACTCAGAAGGAGAGGGACAGAGAGGCAAGAAGAAGGCATTTGCCATCCCTATGTTCAGGGACTGGGCAGAGGAATAGAGGCCAATATAGAAGGTGGGAAAGAGTAGACAGAGAGGGAAGAGACCCATAAGCCAGGCAAGAGAAGCAAGAGATGTTTACGGAAAGATGAGATATCAGACAAATAGATGCTTACAGGAAAACACAATGGATGAGCATCAGAAACACATGCATTTGAGGGGTCACTGGGCTGCCCTTCCTGATTGCATGACTTCCTGTCCAGAAGACAGGTATGCCTGGGGCTGGAAGAGTGTAGTGTTGGTCTGTTGGGGCAGAGGCCATATTTCTACCTGGAGCCGAGAGACAGCCAGGTGTATTGGGCACGAGCTACACTGGATTTCGTGCCTGCACATTTGCCTTAAGGGACAGCAATGACTTGCTTAGTTTGAAAGGCTGGGGGGATTTGAAACACAGCGCCTTGAAAGCAGCTTTATTGACTTCAAAGGGGAAAAAATAATTGAATTATCCTGGATTTCATAGGTGAGAATAGCTATCTAGACTGAAATTAAAGGAGTAAGAAAGCAGTTCGTTTAATGAATAATAATTTAATGTTTGGTACTTCAAGTTGGGAATTTAAAACACAAAAGAGCATTTTGGGTGTTCATTGTAGAATCTGCAACATAGAAAAAAAATAGATGACAATATGCTTGCTCAACAGATGGAGAATGGAGAAAAAGTTACATATTCATAGAAATAAATCACTTGAAATAATGTGTAATAACATGAGAATTTTAACCCTGAGATACTACATAAAGTAAGAAAAAATAAGCCTCTCTTGGATTGATGCAGTACAATAGTTGATCTTTGTTGTCAACCTGAGGGCTTTAGAATCATGTGGGAGACACAGTCGATAAGAGTATTTAAAGAGAGGTTTTACTGAGGATAAAAACCCCGCCCTGAGTGTGGATAGAACCATCCCAAGAGGGGGACTCCAAGACTGAATGAAGACGTGAGGACTGAATGAAGACATGAGATGAGTATGACTATTCATCTCTCTCTGCTTCCTGACCGTGAATCCGATGTGACTGCTGCCTCAAGTTCTTGCCTCCGTAATGTCTCCTTCGTGATAGACTGCGCTCTCAAATCCTTTCTTAGATTTCAAGGATTTTTGTCACAGCAAGAGAAAAGTAACTAATATGTGGGGTTGAAGAAGATTTGAATTTTCTTTATATGTAATAGACGTATTATACATTAACACTGGGACAAGGGCATCCTGAGAAGATACTGGAAGATAAAGACGGAGGACCACAGGGGTCTGGTGGTAGAAAGGGAGGACCACAGCAGCTATAGTAGGAAGATGCAACTCAGCTCCACCCATTTCCTCTTGGTCACATGACACTGCTCAAGTCCTAAGCCCTCTGGGAGAGACCTGAGTGTCTCACTTAGGGTTTGCTTTGGAGTCAGAGGGAGGGGATGGCCCCTCAAGCTTCTGGACCTACCTTCAAGTTGAAGCTTTCTGGACCTGGGTGGAGCTTCTCCTGGCAGGTCAGACAGTCCCTGGGACAGCTGCTGAACACGCTGGAGAGCAGGCTGAGCAGCAGAATGTCGCAGAACAGGATTTTCATGGTGTAGCAGCAGGGGGCAAGAGGCTGAAACACACAGAGGACACCTGTCAGTTAGTAGTCTGGGGAGAGGGCTGGTCAGCTGTGGGGGCCATGACCCAGGGAGGCAAGCATCATTCCTCAGTGAGGGGATTCCTCAGGTGTGCGGTTCACCTGGGCAGACAGGATTATCCAGAGCGCCGGTGGCCCTGTTCCTGCCGTCCTGGACTGCTTTCAGTCATAGGCTGTGTGAACTCTGGATCCTGGGAGAGCACTTGTGATCCCTGCCACTTGGCCGGCCTCTGCCGATCCAGGAACAGCTGTGGGGTGGGGAACAGCTTTCCTGGAGGCCAGAGGCATCGCATCCCAGCTGACCAATGCGTGCCTTTAGGTCAGCCTCTTCTAATCTCAGTTTCTGTAGCCATAAAAGGGAAAGCGTGGCTCGTGCCTGTTTGGAAGATAAGATGTGACCTGTGAGGGCTGGGGTGTGCAAAGTGCAGGCGAGTAGCTGAGCGTGGTGGTGTAAGTCTCGAATCCCATTCCTCGGGAGGCAGAGGCAGGTGACTGAAGGACTAAAATTCTCCCTCTCTTCCTCTCAAGCTTCTCTGGGCTGGCCGGGAATGCTTGTCCTCCCTCAGTTCTTCCAGGAAGCTCCCCTGCGTTTCCCGTCTGTCACCCACGTAGGAACTGAGCTACTGCAAAGGTCTGAGTGTTTTCGTCTCTCCGGGATACGTATGTTGAAACCTGTGATCTCAGAAGGCAGCTCGAACAGATGAAAAGCCAGGAGGAGGAGGTGGGGGAAATAGTACCATGGGTGAAGTGTTTGCTGGGCCAGTTCAGATCCCTGGCACTCAGCAAAGGCTGAGTGGGCACGGTGGGCTACCTGTCATTCCAGGGCAGCGGGAGGTGGAGACAGGGACTCACCTGAGCAAAGTGGACAAATAATTGCTTGAATCAGTGAATTCCAGGTCTAAGTGGGGGAACCTGCTTCTCTCTAAATCGTCTCCTTAAGGATTGAGGAATATTATCTGAAGTCAATCGTGGGCCTCCATACACACAGTCAGCACCCCCCATATACTATGTACACATACAATGCACATACACCCCTATACTATGTAACCCCCCCCACACACACCAGAAAGAATGTTAGCAAATTATTCCTCTGGTTTATCTGTAATGACGTCTCTAGAAACAACGAGATCCTGGGGGTGCTGACATAATGGAAAGGTTAATACCTTGCTAAATGCGTAAGATGATACTTTGTTGGGAGGCTGTGAAGGGCGGAAGGTGGTGTCTGCTTGGAAGAAGTTTCTCACCTGACCCCTGTGCCTTACCCTGCATGCCTTCTCTTTTTGCTTTCTGCCAGGGAGAAACTCCTCTGCCTTGAGGGTCTCCTCAGAACTGAAACTCTCTGAAGCCATGAACAGAATAAACAATTCCAGCGATGAGGAAAGAAAGAAACCTAAAGCCCTAACCCCTGGGATGATTGACAGGAGAAGGTGAGATTTTGGGAGGGATAGTTAGCTCTTGAGGTATTGTCTGTGGATTAGGGACCAAGCCTCACTTAGCAATAAAGATGTTTGTATCTTGGCATTAGATTTCCTGGCTTCTAGAACCATGAGGAATGAATTGCTGTTATTTATAAACTATCCAGTCTAGGGTATTTTTTTTTCCAGAGCAGCCAACAATTAAGATGAAAGCCCAGGGGGGCTGGAGAGATGGCTCAGACGTTAAGAGCACTGTCTGCTCTTCCAGAGGTCCTGAGTTCAATTCCCAGCAACCACATGGTGGCTCGAAACCATCTATAATGAGATCTGGTGCCCTTCATACATGTATGAAGGCATACATGTAGATATTGTATACATAATAAATAAATAAAATTTTTAAAAAAGATGAAAGCTGGATTCCTGAATGCAGGGTTGTGGTGCTCACCTTGACATTCCATGCATGAAAACATTTCTAGAAAAACAGGTGAGGAAACCATTCTCAGACAGCAGAGTCAATGGTTAGTTAGTTGGGTTGGTAGTTTGTGATGTTTATGCAGAATTGCATGAAAAAAATCGTGATTTTTCTAACTCTTCTGCATCTGTGATGGCTATTCTTACTGTGGTGTCAACTTGACTACATCAGGGATTGACTAAACCCAAGCAGCTGGGTGTAACTGTGGGGGAGCTTTCTTATTACATCATTTAAAGTGTGAAGAACCACCTTTATTCTGGATCTTTTGTTTGTTTTTGAGACAGGGTTTCTCTGTGTTCCTTAGCAGTCCTGGAGCTCACTCTGGAAACCAAGCTGGCCTCATACTCACAGACATGCTCCTGCCTCCGCCTCTCTAGTGCTGGGATTAAAGGCGAAGGTCACTACCACCAGGCGAATCTGGATCTTTTGAGGTGTGAAGATCCACTTTTAATCCGGACCACATCTTCTGGTGACAGCCATTACGACACAAAAGATGGAAGCTTGTTTTTTATTCGCTTTCCCTCACTCTTGCTGGAAAGTTCATTCTCTCATTGACATTAGAGCCTACTTCTTTGGGATTCCGCTGTGAACACCAGCTGAGACATCCAGCATCATGGACAGAACAACTACTGGATTCTTAAACTATCCACCGGCAGACAGCCACTGTTGGACCAGCTGAACCACAGCCTGAAAGCCACTTTAATAAATCCTACATATATATGTATTTATGTATGAATATAGATCATATATGAATATACACACATATATTTATTCTATCAGTTTTGTTCCTCTAGAGAACCCTAACTAAAGTCTTAGATCAAACCTCTTGAATCAGAAAACTACTTCCTTGGATTATGGCATTTTGGGTTGAATCATCTTTACCTGGAGGATTGAATGGAAAGAGGAATAGGAAGCTAGTTTTGACTGTTAGCTTCACACCAAAAGTCCCTTAGGAAGAGAGTCTTAATGAGAGATTGTCCAGATCAGGTTTGTCTAGGGGCATGTATGTAGGATTGCCTTGATTATTAATTGATGTAGGAAGAGGCAGCCCACTACGGGCGGTACCTTTGCCTAGGCAAGAGGTCTTGAATAGTATATGAGAGATAAATCCAACCGAGAACAAGCAAGTAAGCAAGATTGCCTTTGTCTGTCTCTGCTCTAAATGTGAATGTGGTGTAAGTCCTTGTCACTGTGGCTTCTCTGCTTTGATAGACTCTAACCTTTAATTGTAAGCTTAAAGAAGTTGCTTTTACAATAAAATCGATTCTTATTTATGTGTATGTGTCTCTCTGTGTGTGCCACGTGTATATGATGGTGGCTTCAGAGGCCAGAAGAGGGCAATGGATCTCCTGGAGCTAGAATTCCAAGCAACTGTGAGCTCTCTGACATGAGTAATGAGAATCAAAGAGAAGAAAGTGACCTTAACCACTGAGCTAACTCTTCAGCCCTCTAATTGTGTAATTGTGTGTGTGTGTCAGGGTGTTTTTCTCATAGCAACGGAAATGAAGGTTGAACAGAAACTTCCTAGAAATAGTGACATTCTTTATTTGGGCCATAGGTGTGTATATAGTTTCCCAAACCCATTAAATTATAGATTTAGATCTGAATTTTACTGTATATAACTTTCCTGCATAGAGAATAAAAAATTACTGTTTTCATTGTTTCAATAGAAATGAAGGTTGAATGGAAATTTTATAAAGATATTGACATTCTTTATTGGGGCTATTAGGATGTATATATTTTCTAATATATTGAATTATAGATTTAGAATCTGTGCATTTTCCTGTATGTAACTCTTCAGCACAGAGAACAACAACAACAACAAAAAAAGAACAACAACTGTTTTCATCAGATGATTCTAGGAAATCAGTGAGATTTGCCTTTTAAATGCTGCCTGCTGGGTCTTCTAAGAAGCATGTAGTCTTGGGCTCTACCCACAACCATCGAATCAGGATCTGTGTTGTTAGCAACATTCCTAGGTGGCTTATCTGTATGACAAAGTTAGAGAGGTGAATGGGGACAGTCAACGGGAGTAAGGAAGGGGTGTGCAACAGGGAGCTGCCACGGAGCCATATTGGAAGACCACTGGGCTCTTGTGTACCAAGAAGTGTTTCCCATCTAGGGGATGATCGTTAGAAAGGTGTTCAGTAGATTTTTGTTTGTTTGTTTCAAATAGAGTCTCATGTAGTACAGGCTGTCCTTAGACTCTCTATGTTATTGAAAACCTTGAACTTCTGACCCTTCTATTTCTACCTCCCAAGTTCTGGGGTTACAGTGTGTACCGCTAAGCCCCATGTATAGTGTTGGGTATTAAACCCAGGACTTCACTCATACTAGGCAAACATTCACTGAGTTATACCCCAGCCCTTGGTAGACATTTAGGTCAGTGAGTTACCATTTGAAGTGGGCATCAAAAATGAGAGTTTGGTAACACAGAACCGGGGAGACCTGGGATCATAGCCTGAGAGTAGAGAGCAGATCAGTAGCCTGCCCATACCCTTTGAGGCCAGGGCTGGTCCAGATGGAGCAGGTCTCCTCTGTTCTCCTGGGAGACTTGTGCTTTATTTGTCCTTCAGATGCCAGCATGTCTTGAGCTAATAAATAAAGCACTCAGACATCTGTATCCATGAGTGTCTCTCCTATGCATTTTTCTCTTTCTCTAACCCAACAGCCAGTGTCTAGTTGAGATTTATTGCTTTATTATTGTAATAGTCTCCTAATTAGTCCAGCTAATGGTCTGGCCTCCCTCCAAGCCATTGGATGATACCATTTCATTCTTAAAATAATTCTATAATACCCATGGCTGTCAGATGTTCCAGGGACTTGGCTGGCCACTGGCTGCCACCTCATCCCTTGTCATCCCGGCATCGCTTCCAGACCCAGAGAGCCCAGCTCTCACCTCTATCAGGTTCCTAATGTATTCATTCCTTGTCACTAACTATTTCCTCTGTCAGAATGCCCTGTCAGCAACGTCCCCCTTCCAGAAAGCCATCACCAGACTGGCTTGAGCTAGACCAGTCTTTGTTACAGCTGTGGCCTCCCAAGGCAACATATTGCTTTAGGAAACAAGTGGGGCTCAGGGAGCCCATCTGTCACATGGGCTAACTGCAGAGTTGTGTTATGTGCGTTTTCCGACCTGATCATCTTGGGAGAGGAGTCCTGGGTTCAGATCATTGATTCTGTAATTCACCAGCTGTACTCAGTCTCTGAGTTCCTCACTGTAAAAATGGGGACCATCTTAGCAACTATATCATACCGGCATTGGTGGGTTTGTGTTTGTAAGCAGTTAAAACGGCACCCAACATGTAACAAACACTTTATAAAAGAGAGCTAAAGCGTAGCACTCACGCTATATTCTCGTCTGTGCACTTAGCAATCAATCAACGGTCACCTTGTACTTCTGTGGCTGCTTCTCCCACTGGCCTATGACTTCCTGGAGGAGCGAGATCCTGTTCTGTCATTCTCCTTGTCTGCCAGGTGCCCAGGCTGGGACACAAACTTTAGGATCTGCTCAATGAAAGACTGACAGTGGGCGATCTCAGGAGCACCCCTCCTCCTTTTTCTCTGCAAATGCAGGGCTGAAGAACGTTCTGGAGCCTCACTGGGGGTCCAGTGAGCTCCTGGCACAAGAGCTGCCTCAGCACCTGCACCGCCCACAAAGGCTCCATTAACAAATCATCCTGTCATCCCAGGAAGATAAGATGCCATTGTAAGTAGACACTGGTGCATGTGTGCCAGAGAACTGTTCACCAAGGGTCATGGCTGGGGTTGTGTCCCAGGCTAGGTCTCTGAGGGTTAAGGACTTATCAGACCAGCAATGGGGATGCTTCTTTGAGGTGAAAAAAAAAAAGTAGCACAAAAGGCTATTATACAAAATAAATGTTCTAGAACGCAAGGCACTCTCAAACAGGCCTTTCTGACTCTCTTGTTATCTGATGATTGCTTCTGTGTTTCATCCGCAGCTCCTTGTACTCCCAGTTAGGAAACATTTTCATAGGATCTATTCAGAACAGCATGGCTGTTTCCTTTATCGCCACACGATGGCAGTGGCCATATGTCACAGAAGAAAGGGTATGGACCATTTCCTTTAGCTCCTGCCTAGAATGTTGACTGCAGGCCTGCGCCCGGTTGATAAACTGTGAGAGATGTTAATGAGAAGCCCCTGCTGAGGATACTGAAGGAAGTCGTGAGCAGCTTGATGTGCAGGGAAGTGTTGGCGGTTTTTGACTGATAGTTGTCATTTACAATTTGGAGTAAATGGAATTTAGGGGGGGCGGGGTCCTGGAACAATTAGCCAAAACACAAGCCCCGTGGAGATGGCTTTTGGTGAGAACTTACCAGGTCTACCTGGCTTTAGTCAGGCTCTCCTCCTATCTGTACTTAATGGCCTTGCTTCTACCCTGTTTCCTCCTCCTCTCCTTCTTCTGTCCTTCTTCCTCTCCATTCTTCTTTTCCTTTGCCTCCTTCCTCTTCCTTCACTTTTTTTTTTTTTTTTTTTTTTTTAAAGACAGGGTCAACTATGTAGCTTTGGCTGGCCTGGAGCTCACTTTGTAAACCAAGCTGGCCTCAAATTCACAGAGATCCTCCTGCCTCTACCTCCTGAGTGTGGGCATTAGAGTCACGTGCCACCTCCTTTTTGAGATATTCCTACTTGTTTCCTGCTCACATTCTCCCTGCCTCAGTGCCATCCATCTGGGATGAAAGATGGGTGCCGCCTCACCCCTGCACCCTTCCTTTTAACAAGCAGCTCCAGCTACTAAGTGAAACACTTCCGTACTGGGAGGCATTCATTCCCCCTGCAGGTCTGAGAAGCAGCAAGACAGGAGTGACAATGGGACCCCCATCTCGCAGGTGGTCTGCCATTTTAAGTCTGGTCAGCTATAAACACGTGTGCAGTAACCTGCAGAAATACATCATGGCATAGACATATTGTTCTTTGGTAGTCCTTGTGGTATTCGGGCCAGTTGTGTGCTGTGTAAGATGACATTAAATAAAGAAAGCCTAATAGAAGTTTTAGATCAGGCTGGCCTCAAACTCAGAGAGCCACCTGCCTCTATCTCCCGAGTGCTGGGATTAAAGGTGTTCACCTCCACTGCTCATTGTGAAGTTAAAGTAAAGATTTATTTTGTTTCTGAGACAGTGTGTCATATATAGCTTCAGTTGACCTTGAACTCACAGTGAAGATGATTTTGAACTTTTGATCCTCCTACTCCCACCTCCCCAGTGCTGCCACTGCAGGCATGCACCACCACACCCAGTTTATAGGGTGCCGGGAATTGAACACAGGGCTTTGTGCATGCTAGGCAAGCATCCCACCAACTGAGCTGCAGACCCGACTCCAAAAGCTTTTTAACATTTAAGAAGTCTGAACAACATGGTG